GTCCTCGCATTTTTTACTTCTAAATCAGGTTCGTGACCCAAGAACCACAGTTCATGGAGAAGTTGCTGTCCAAACTGGTGTTCGCCGTTCGCTTCAGGACGTCTGCCAATCTCCATGTAAGTAGTGTACAAACAACCGAGTATTCTAGTTCTTGTCCTTGCTATCAAAATATTTTCGAGCTTTCACACTCAATACTCGAGTAGCGAGCGCTGTGACCGAGTCTAGAAATACTTGGACGACGGTAAACATCCCAAAGGAGCAATCACTGGGAAGAAAAGTTTGTAGCTATACGCGATTCATTGCACGCAGGGACATGGCATCATTGCGGGCGTGTCTGCGTCTCAGACCAAACCGCTTTGACTGTCTGCGTCTCTTTCAAGCACAAACTATCTACGTCGGACGTAATGGCTTCTAGTCTCTGCGTGCGATGAATTGCCTTTATTCGACTTTTGAGCTTTCTAAATGAATTTCAGATCCAATGGGTGACCCAAGAAGGTTTGGGAGGAATCGGACTATCTTCGCTGCAAATAGATGATCCCAAGGGAAAATGTGGAGCAGGACCATATCCTTCCCATTCTCTAGTAGCCAAGGTAATCTCCCAGGAAAAATTATTCTCCCAAGGACCAAAAATCTTATTTGGGAGAATTCAGCTGCTAAAATGCCGAAACAGGGACTATCATCGTTTACCGTCGGCTCAATGCACTCGCCTTTGCTATCTCGACGAAAGCGCGGAAGATTTTAATCCACAGTTACTGGAACCACATTGGTGCAGCCATATCGTGCTAGGACCGGCTGATATCCATGTAACATTTTACCAAATTTTTTAATACAAATCTTGTTGGTATTTTTAGTACTCCGACGCTGTTGAAGTAAATCCAGATGTTCGCAACCTCATTTCTCGTGTGAATAATTGGGCAAACGAGATAGATGGAAAACGACCGATGGTTCGAACATCCAATTAGAAAAATATTGGGAAAAATCAATAACCCATCTTTAGACTGTACTTTCCATTGGAGCACGGCAGGGGAATGAAGTATGGCGAATGGAAGTGGGCAACGCGCTGAAAAGGAAAAGTCTTATCAACAGTATTAAGGCCGTGGGTCTATATATCGCTTTGGGAACTAATCAATAAATCATATTCACTTGCAAAAATCATCGCGAGGCTGCCAATGAGTCTTTATTGATTTTCTGCGGCCCAAAGGCGTCGAAACCGCGCCGCAGCCGCCCGCAACTGCTACATAGCCTGCGTCAAAGCAAAGAATTCCCTTCCTCAGACTGTTCGCGCAATGAACGTTTCTGGAGTCGATATTTCTTGGACACGTGAGCCTCTGGACAGCATTATGGACACGACGTATTTGTCACAATTTCTTACGGACTTGCGAACTGTACTACCGCGGGTAAACAAAACAAACGCAGGGACCATTTTTGCTCAAAAAATTTTTAAAATTACAGAGCATTGCCATGTATGTGTCAGTGAATCCCATAAGCAGTTTTGATGGTCGCTATGACGTCAGCGCTTTGAATAAGTGAGTCATTGGCGCTTTGGCACAAGTTACAGTAATCTACCGTAATCTATTATAGCAGTTAGAAGCCAAAAGTGACATCAGAGGTCAGCTCTGGGCGCTTTGATATGCAAATTCACATTGGGAGCTCTTGTACACAAAAGCTTATTTACAACAAAGATTCTGGTCGCATATTGAAATACTTCAAGATTACGGTGGCATACTGTAGGGATACTGTATAAGTACGTTGCATACTATAAAAGTATAAAAGTGCTGTTGTCTAAAAGTTTCTAGCGGAACTTTGGACTCGTCATACTTCAAGCATACTTGTAGGAGTAGGAGTATTGTATGATTACGGTAGCATACTATAGGAGTGCAAAAGTGCCCTCTCCTTTGAATTTCCTTGCAGAACCGCTGAATTTGTCATTCTCCAAACTCATCGGCTCCATTCTCCTAATCTCCCAACCACTGGACATCATTCAGCAATGTTCTCAGCACCTGGTCTCACGGATAATCGGATGACAGTGGAATCATTTGTGCGAGATTGGGTTTCCAGGGGAGTAACGAGGTAAATTTTGCATTTCCAAAAATTTTTTTAAGGCAACCAAGATATTTCCCAGTGAAAGGGATTAGCATTAGATGGGACTTATCAGAATTAAGAGTGATGAGCTTATAAGCTCTAGAGTTCCAAAAAGGAGCGTGGTCGGAGCCACCTGAAAAAGAATTTCACAGGACGACTATTTTTCCATACTGTGAAGACAAACATTCACAGAAAATTTACTCACAAATTCATTCTAGGGAAAGACTGATAGTATCCGTCACAGCAACCCCGACAACACTGAAACTTGCGCAAAGCGGTCCTGCCGGGCAAATTCTTGGATTACCAACTGCGAAAGGGTCAACATCGATTGAGCCAATGTCTCAGACTGAGGTTGGTCTAAAATCTGAAGTCTCAAAAGCAGATGCTACAGCCTTTCATAGCACGCAGAGAGAGGAAGCCACTGCGGAACCTGTTTGCATCTCTCATAATGCACTTTTACTCCTCTGACCGTCTGCTGTTTCTCCCAAACCCATACTATCTTGATCGGAAGCCACCGTGATAGTAGTCCCTGCGTGCAGTGAATTGCTCACACATCATTCTGTTTGCAACATACAAAAACCAAAATTAGAAAATACTCATTTTTTCACACACTTTCAACTATGAGAGCTTCGTTAAAAAAATTTTTGACCGAGGTTTTCTCCTGGAGATACACTCATCGTCGCATGCAAATATTAGGCGTTATTGTGCCCGAACGAACTAGTGCGTATCAGGGGAGACAGCAGACAGATGTAGAAATGAAAGTGCGGTGAGAGACGCCAACACGTCCTCACTGCCATCCTGTCTCTGCGTGCGATGAACCGCCTATGAAAGAGGGCACAAATTGTCACAAGTGCTACAGACTTACTATATCTGGATGATTTTTAGTGATTTATCGGAGGGTACATAAATTTCAGATCTGCAATATCCTCGAGAACAACGCTACCGAATGGATGTCACACTGGCTTAACGGAATCTCTGCACCAGTATTAATGCGTGGCACAGATTTTGTAGCATATGACAATGAAAAAAGCGCAAGAATCAAGGCAAACTACTCACTGCTGAAAAAAAAACGTTTGCTACTATTTGTTTCATTCTAGGCAACCTGGAGCTCAAGCAATAATTTAGCTGGTATGGCAATTCACGGTTTACCGTATGATAATCCTGAGGGAGAGTGTCCTGATCGGGCATTCCCTATACTACAGAGCATCGTCGATGCGCAGGTAAGTCGATTAGCGTTAATTTGGAATAGTATTCACCACTTTTCCGATCTCTGATTGGGCGCTTCTTTACTCGTTCATCGCCGATCGAGCGCTCGTTTTGATAATAACTGCTCCATGACGAAGGCGATCGCCCGAATAGATTGAAAGCATGCAA